GAAAACGGGCAACTCCCAGTCGCAGACCAGTCTCGGGAATAACAGCGCGTACATCGACAGCAACTGGCCTCAACTACAGTGTGTTTTCTGACATAAACTGTTGCGGGCTCGCAATACACGCAATATGCACACGTTGTCGGAGCAGCGCATGGAGCGCGCACATCGGGTCATATCTCCGAAACTGAGGACAACTAGTTGCCGAAAAGTAGAACACGGGCAACTTACTGAAACTGGAGACCGACTGTTTATCTCCAGTTGTAAGAGCGCGCACATCGACCGATTTCAGCAACTGATCATCTCCCACCGTCTCCTCTCAGTTGCCAAAAGCCGCCTTGCAACTAGTTGTCCCCAGTTTCTCTGTCGATGTACGCTAGGCTTTAGTCCACTCCTCAAGGACTGTATTGGGAGGAACTGGAAACATGCTCAATGGGTGATAAGTCTGATATGTCTGATGGCCATACGGATACGATCCGTATCGATGATTTCGATAAAAAAACAATATCTTAATTTTTAAAACGATACAATTCGATAAGATACAGTACATTTTGAACAATATATTGATACAGTAATATTGGCTTTTTCTGTAAATAAACTTATTACAGTAATTCAAACTTAGAAATCTAACTCAGATTTTAAGTGCTGGATAAGAAATACAACTTTTTTACAAATTTAACAAAAGCATTTATTTTGCCCAAGAGCTAACTTATAAACTCACATGAATAAAACATAATAAAACAGATGTATAACAATGCAGTGCTTAACAAATGTTTTACAGCACCACCTAAGTGTTTGAAATTAAATAATATATTTTTTATTTCTATAGTGGTTAAATAAGTGTATTTGTTATTCCAATTGACTATTTTCTTAATATTAAATAAAATGATACTGTTAATTTGAAGTTCTTGATCTCGTATTACTAAAGTTCTTTATGTTGTCATGACAGGTGGTCCAAAACTTTTGTTGAGCAGTGAGCACTGTACATTCTAGTGCTACCTATTGAAGCCTTTAGCTCGTATAGAACTTTGAAAATAGCAGCAACACCTTTTTGGTCTCCGCTCTTGCACCGCAGTTACTGTTTTTGGATGCTGTTCCCTCGGGTTACTCTTCTGCTTTGCCAGCGATGCCGTGGCGTCGGTACAGATGCGAAGAGAAGCGTAGCAAGAAGAGTAGCTCTACAGAGCCAATCGTTTTGTCAAGATTGCCCCCCCTTTTTTCTTTTACAAAACCCGAAGTATCTCCTGACTGACAAAAGCAAATTTGGAGGTTTATAAGACTTGCTGCTACCATTGTCCATGTTGTTGTTGTGAGCTTGTGACGTAAATTTACAGCGCCGCCGCAAAGGCTTGTTGATGACACGGGAGAAAAACAAATTACATTTGTTTAGATTAACATTCAGACAACAAAGAATTTATAATTCCATTGCACGTTGTGACTATGATTTAATGTAAGAACAATATCGATAAAATTGAAATTTTTCCATTTATGTCGATGTGCGGCTAGGCTCTATGCCAAATAGCTGATGTAGCTGGATCGCAGGGGAGACACATTGATACATCGATTAAATAGATGTATCGTTACACCCCTACCATGCAGTATACTAAATCGTTAAGCAAAAGACAATGCTTTTTCTAGTGGAAAATTGGCAGTGAGCTGGATGGACCACAAGTTGAATAAGCATGCATGTCTAGTGCAGTGGGTTACTGTAACGGCACGGCGTGCACGGCACCGGCACCAACACAATTTAAGCCTTGACTTGAATCATGCTGTCAGGTCAAACCGACTGGTCAAACCATAGACTGGTCAAATAAATAGACTGGTCAAACCTCCATCCATCCATCCATTTTCTTCCGCTTCATCCGTTGCCGGGTCACGGGGGCAGCAGTCTAAGCAGAGACGCCCAGACTTCCCTATCCACACACACCTCCTCCAGCTCGTCCGGGGGGACCCCAAGGCATTCCCAGGCCAGCTGAGAGACATAGTCCCTCCAGCATGTCCTGGGTCTTCACCAGGGCCTCCTCCCGGTGGGACGTGCCCGGAACACCTCCCCAGGGAGGCGTCCAGGAGGCATCCGGAACAGATGCCCGATTCACCTCAACTGGTTCCTCTCGACGTGGAGTAGCAGCAGCTCTACTCCGAGCTCCTCCCGTGTGACTGAGCTCCTCACCCTATCTCTAAGGGAGCGCCCAGCCAGTCTGCGGAGGAAGCTCATTTCGACCGCTTGTATCCGCGATCTCGTTCTTTCGGTCATTACCCAAAGCTCATGACCATAGGTGAGGGAGGGAACGAAGATTGACCGGTAAATCGAGAGCTTTGCCTTTCGGCTCAGCTCCCTCTTTACCACAACGGTCAGCGACCGCATCACTGCGCACGCTGCACCGATCCGCCTGTCAATCTCGCGCTCCATTCTTCCCTCACTCATGAACAAGCCCCCGAGATACTTGAACTCCTCCATTTGAGGAAGGACCTCTCCACCCACCCGGAGAGGGCAAGGCACCCTTCTCCGGTGAGCACCATGACCTCAGATTTGGAGGTGCTGATTCTCATCCCCGCGGCTTCACACTCGGCTGCAAACCGTCCCAGTGCATGTTGCAGGTCCTGGTTCGTTGGAGCCAACAGGACAACATCGTCTTGTCCGCAAACAGCAGAGATGAAATCCTGTGGTTGCTGAACCGGACCCCCTCCGGCCCCTGGCTGTGCCTAGAAATTCTGTCCATGAATACAGTGAACAGAACCGGTGACAAAGGGCAGCCTTGGCGGAGGCCAACATGCACCGGGAACAGGTCCGACTTACTGCCGGCAATGCGAACGCAGCTCTGACTCCGGTCATAAAGGGACCGAACGGCCCTCAGCAGAGGACCCCGGACCCCATACTCCCGGAGGACCCCCCCAAAGGACACCCGGGGAACACGGTCGAACGCCTTCTCCAAATCCACAAAGCACATGTGGACAGGTTGGGCGAACTCCCATGAACCCTCGAGTATCCGATGGAGAGTATAGAGCTGGTCCAGTGTTCTACGGCCGGGACGAAAACCACACTGCTCCTCCTGAATCCGAGATTCGACCAACGACCGTAGCCTCCTCTCCAGTACCTTGGAGTATAGACTATACCGGGGAGGCTGAGGTGTGTGATCCCACGATAATTGGAACACACCCTCCGGTCCCCCTTCTTGTAGAGAGGGACCACCACCCCGGTCTGCCACTCCATTGGCACCGCCCCCGATCGCCACGTGATGTAGCAGAGACGTGTCAGCCAAGACAGTCAAACCTCAAAGACTGAAATAAATAGACTTGTAGCGGCATACATTGTAGAAGAGATGAATGAATCGCCGCCTTTCAGAAAATATTTGTGAACTCTCTAGAGAAGTGCTGCAGACAGAATTGACCTGGCCTCTATTGTCATTTACTCTCATGTTAATTTTCTGCCATTTGAGCCAGTTTTAAAGGTCCTATATCACGCTTTTCTTAATGTTTCACACTCAATCCTATGCACATGTGTGATATTAATGTGTATGATACACCACACAACAATCAAAGCTTGTGAGATTAGAGCCATCTCTTGTATAGAGGTGACGTCACCTCGACTCAAACGAGCTGATCCAGAGAAGAGTCTGCTCCTCTGCCTGTGAGCCCGCCTCCCCCCGCCCGCACGGTGACGTAGCATCACGCTTTTGTCGTTTATCACCTGTACTTAGTAATTTCATACATAAGAATAAACTTTTTCCAACAATGACAATCCATCACATCGAGCCCTATGTGCTCGATGCACAATCAGACCCTAGTTATTTAGTTTACAGAAGTAGACAGCGAGTTAGCGTCACTAGTTACAGATCGAGGGGGTCCGAGTTACGTCTTTTACCGTGGGAATAACGTGTTTCCAGATCAGCTTTTGAGTAAGTCCAGTTCCATTGTCCCTGTAGTTCTGGAACAGTCTCAGTGAAGTGTCGCAGATGAACCGGTATTATAATAGATCCATGAGATGAACAGATGAAAAAAGTCGAGCCGCTTTCTTCCTCTTAGGGCCAAATAGTGTGCCACATATTTACACCCATAACACACTTCATTCAAGTTGACGTGATCCTAACACTTTTAGTTGCTGACAAAAGCATAAAAACAGCAGCTCTATGTGGTGTCCGGAGACCAGACCACAGACGCTGGACTCGGGAGCCGGAGCCTGTGCGCTCTGATTCGCTGTTTTGATCCGTCAATCACCTCCCGCCGGCTTTTAATTTATTTTTATTTTTATTATTTTTGACAAAAAACAGCATACTAATTGTGTATTGTTTACCCCGTTTTGACAAAAGTATTTAACAACTATTTTAAATACAAAGCAAACGGGGTCATGCGCGTCATCAGTGTGGTTTTCGTCACTGAAGTGGACCCGAGCGTTTCTGTGCCTCAAGCTGGGGAAGGAGACAGATTGCTCTCTTACAAAAGATTGACAGAATCAAACTACTGTGGGCTTGTGTATGAAGGCCAAATAGCATTGTAATCATGTTTAAAGCAGAGAAAAGTCAAAAACCGTGATATGGGCCCTTTAAACAACTTATTTGTTGTTGACCTTTATTTTAAGTACTTTAATAAAGAAAACATACAAACTTGATTCTGGTCTCTTTATTTCGACATGAAGTAAAAGTAATGTAACTTAGTTACTTTCTAGGGGGAGGAAGAAAGTAATGTAACTAATTACTTTGTACTAGTGTTTTGTAACTAATTCGATTTTCAAAGTAACTTACCCAACACTGCCAGTGGATAGACCTATAATGATCAAAAGCTGTGAAGTGACACCAACATTTGCACATGACCAGTTGATACTGCAGTTCATTAAAATGTTTACTTTTGACTATATCTGCTAAAGCATAACTTTTGTCTTTGTGAATGAACTTTAGGGAAAAGTTAGTGTATTGAACTCTTCCTTCCTAATGGTGTTGTTTTTGCGCGGAAATTGAACGAGATACTGAGAAGTCTTGGTGAAGAAATGCATCCCAGCTTTAAATAGTTAATTACTCTGTCCATGTCTCGGCGACGTCTGGCCGCGGCCCGAGGACTGCGTCTGTCTTCTGCTCGTCTCCTCTTCCAGTGCAGCCTGCAGTGTGGCTGTGTCTGAGGCAGGCTCCAGGCGCTGGGGGTGGGCTCCGCTCTCTGATGGTTTTCCACTGAGTATTTGTCAGGTCAGACTGTGCACCGCCCGGCGGTCTCCGCTCCTCTCCCCGGGTTATTTATTACCTCTCCCCCGCCAGCAGCTCCGGGGCCCTGGCCAACAGCGGCAGAGAGGGGGGAATCAGGGGACTCGCGATGGACGGCAGCTCCTGCCAATGACCGTGGGCAAATGAAGAGGCGTTAAAAAGCTTTAAAAGTAGCCTACCTTTATTTGACCTATTGCATGGAATACATTTATATGTTATCAGCACAAGTGTTTATTTTGGGGAAACCGATGATGTTTCTTTTGTTATGGTATAAAATACATTACTATGACAAGATCGTAAATCTTACCTTCCATCTTACCTAGAATAATAAAAAAATTAAAAAAATTGAAATAAGTATTCTTCTGGAAGAAGTAAACTTGAAAAACAAAGGTTTATCTGAGTCTTGTTGATGGAAAATGTACCTCAAACTTCTCTTTGAAGATGTGAGGGGCATGTGCTTTTGGGGAACCCCTCCACGGGACATGAGTCACTGGTGAGTGACGTGGGGAACGTGGGCGTCAGGACGGTTTCATCAGGGCTGTCCTCAGAGCGCCCACACATGTTTCCATTGAGACATCATTTACATACAAGGTTCCACTTCCTTAAAAACACCACAAACAAATGACTTTCACCAGTGAGTGGAAAAGACAATGTGAGATGAACACTTCTGTTTCACTTTTACATTGTTTTTTTTAAACCATAAATGACTGGAAATTATCATGTTATTTATTGTATAAATCCATATTTCTATAAAAATAATTTCCTAATTATGTTAAGGCAAGATTTATTGGTTAAGATATTATAGACATTTTAATTTTTAACTGCTATTTCATCTGCACTGTGACAGAGCTTTATGTTTTTAAACTGTTTAAATTAAATTGTCTTGATACTGTAACAGCTCGCGATTTGTCCCGATAGTTATAATATAGTTATGGTGAGTAGGTTCATGTTTTGGAGTGGTCCAGTGCTTTTTTAGTTTATTGTAGATTAAAACTGGGCGATATAATAACATTTGCGGTAAAACCGGTATAGTTTAGAGTTACCGCAAAAGCTTTTGTGTGTATGCGCACTGGTGATGTTTATCTTTGGTCTGAGTGCGAGTAGAAACAGCGGCTGGGATCACAGCTGTGGCAGTCAAGCTTCCCACCTAACAGTCCTTTCTCAAGTTGTGCAAAACTTTTGACTTGGAGTGTCATGGTAACCGATGTAGGTTTTAACCTCTGCAAAACCTGTAGATGGTAACCGTAACGGTTTCAATATAATAGTGTTATCTCTGGCTTATCCCGCCCGCCGCGTCAACAATCTCAGCCTTTCCAGGATGTATTCCGAGTCTCACACCCTCACATCCCTCACCATACACTCTATACACCAAGATGCAAGTCACCGTCGGGTATGCTTGAGTCCGCCAGCTAGTTTCGCTCAGATTAATACTGACAGCTGCTGTGGCCAGATGCATTAAAGATGGAGTACCTAATTTTTTTTCATAAATAAATTTGGTTTGTCCCAACAGAAAAAGTCTGTTGGCAAAATAACATTTTGTGAATTAATCAGACCTCAAGATGCTGTCTTTATGTTATTGTAAGATATTGATCTTTTATGACACGTTTGATGTTTTGTTTATCTGAGAGGCACCGATGCTGAGAGGAGCATCCTTGATTTGTCTGGTTTAAAATGACATGCACGCTGCAAAACTCTGGTCGAGTCTTTTTACTGTAAAATGTCTTCAGCTGTGAAACGATCCCAGACCTCATCATCTTTTGTCATTTTCTTCAGAAAACAACATTACTTTACATGTTTTCATACTGAGAGCTGAAAATTCTGTTTTCTGTCTGAAAAGCAGATCTGCACTGTAAATACAAAACTGCATGCATGTGAATACTAGTGATAGAGCCAAACAAGTTTGTTGTTTTTGTGCATATGTGTTTTCCCATTGCTATTTATGCATCTCGAGAATATAAATTTGGTGATTTTTCCTCCTTTTATTGTGATATATTTTTTGGCCACCCAGCCCTAGTATTCTTGGGTTTCATTAAACTGGCCTGTATGCTCCCATTGAAAACCATGTAAATCGTGTCTGTTTTGGTGTCAAAAGGCTCTCATCCTGTGCGGTGTACGGTTGTTGCAACAGTCTTAATCGGGGACACTCAATTCTAAGGGAGTACTAAAAAATATTTCTCAAAAGAATCTAGATTTCAGGCATTTTTTGAAAAAATAAATAAAATAAAAACAGAAGAAATGGCTGCGTTTCATTCGGGTGGCCTGCAGGGGGGCTCATCTGGGAAAGCCTTGATCCACCTCGCCCGCCTCATTTGAGTGATTTTTTTCAAAGTGTACTCCTTTATATAAGAGCACAGTTGGAACACGGAATAAACTCTTGTCTTTCTCTCTATTTGCGCGGTTGCTATAAGGGTACACCGCACAAAAAGATGGCATTTTGACGCTTCTTCTACTATATCTCCGTGTATAAACCCGGCAGACTGCACCGCCAGGGTACGTCACGTCCTGTCCTACGTTTGTTATTCGTGCCACTGCCCTGACGTCATATGAAACAAGAATAGAGTACAACCTCTCCACTCTTAATAAGATTAAACCAGGTCCAATTAAAATTATATTTAATTTTTCATTTATACAGGTGAACATAGTCTATTTTTAATGAGCGTTCTAACATTCTATTCTGGTGTGAAGCGACCGTCAGAGCTTAAGATAATGCTTCAGGTTATGTGTTTTGGTTTTTAGACTTGGCTGGTTAGCTGCTGTGGTTTTGGCCCTCCTGCTCGCTTCATCCGCCCGTGCCGTGGCCTGCCTCCTTCCTGTGTGAGTCCGCAGCAGTTTGGTCTGATTTATGGCTTTGACACAGGCCTGGACCCCACCACGGCGCTGGATGGCTATTCCATGTGTCGACGGAGCTGCGAGGTCCACCTGGGTGTTCCACTGATGGGGGTCAGATGTTCATGCGCCGCCTCACACAAGGCAAACCTGTACATACAGTGGGTTGAAAAAGTATAACACAATTTGAACGTTTCAAGTTGACAAAATCTAAAATCTTTGCAGATGTAAAGATTTTAGTTTGGACTGTTTTTGAAATACCACAACAAAATAACAGAAATGAAATTATATATAAAAGACAAAAGTTACGTATGACTACGATTCTGTGAAACCCGGATGACCACCAGAGGCGCTCAGTCAGGATCCTTGCGTTTCCGTGAGAAGATTCTGCAGGAACAGAGTGATGGGTGACGCTGGACTATATTACCTCCGGGGCGTCATCCAGGGAGTCATAGGTGTGACTCATTTGGTAAAACTACTCAAACTGTGCATGCGTGAAGGGAACATTCAGTACTATGTACCGCCCTCTAGCGGTCAGGAGGGATGAAATAGAACTGAAAAGTGTTTTCAGTAAATACTTTATGGAATCCTTTTTTGCTGCAATCACAGCAGTACGTCTTTTGGGGCTTGAGGGTCAATCTTTCCATCCCTCCTCCCACCACTGTTGTCAATCTTCCCTGTCCCTGCTGAAGAAAAGTAGCTCTGTAGCATGATGCTCCCTGACATATTTGATACTGAGGACACTGGGGATAGTGCAATGAGGGTGATGAGCATTTCAATGTTAGTTTTGCAACTTGATGTTTGGCAAACTCCAAATGGGATTTATTATGGCGGCTTTCTTTCAATAATGGTGTTCTTCTTGCCACTCATCCACAACAGCCAGATTTGTGTATAGAACAACTAGTTGACCTATATACAGAGTCCTCCATCCCAGGTGCACAAGTTCGCAGCTCCTACAGTCATCTTGGGCACATGGTTGCATCTCTTTTCAGTGCTCACCTTGTTCAGCTTGTTTGTTTTGGATGTTTGTGTCTTGGTAAGTTTGCAGTGTTACATTACTCTTTCCATTTTTGAATAATGGTTTTAATATTGCTCCATGGGATTCAGCAGAGAAATGCTGTATGCAAGCCCCACTTTTATTTTATAATTTTGTGTTCATAAAAAGGCAGACGCTCGACACAAACTCCTCACCGCTCACAACGTTTGAAAATTTGGTTTGAAAAATTGTTCTGCAGTAAATGGGCAAATGTTTACATGGCGTTTGTATATCTGGGAACTATAGATGAAAAATAGCCTCCTTGGCTAATTCTGGCTTTTTTAAACTGTTTAATCGTGTTTTAATAAATTGCATTGTCCCCTTTGCAATAAACTAAACTGAAACTGAATCTACTGGGCCAGTTATGTGTGAAACCAAGTGATGCAGATCCCCTTTGAGTGGAAGTTTGTGGGACTAGATCATTATTAGCTTAGGTCCCATTGACCTCAAAAGACAGCACTGTAGGAATAGTCGTACAGAACCTAATGTTCCAACGTTTCACAGATGACATTATTGAGATAAAATCCCTGGAGCATGGCGAGCAGGGTAATGGGGAGAATTGGGACATTTCCGGGTGTGCCGCTGAACTATACGACTGCTGCTCTTCTCGGGTAAAAAACTTCAACAAACAGTCTGTCTGCTTCTGTCGCTGGTCTAGCAGTGCGGCGGTGTATTGTGATCAAGTTGACAAGTTGAGTCCAAACTTATATGGTCTTTGATCCAAGCCAGCAGCATCAACCCCGTTATTATAATGAGCACCAGGCCAGCGGCAGTGTCATGGTTCTGAGAGGCACATTCCCAGTTTCTACATACTGATTTACAGTCTATGCTCTTGATACAGCGAGTTAGCTGTAGGAAAATAACGTGTAGAAAATGCATTGTCTCTAATGACTATTTATGTCTGTTTTTTTTATTGTTTATTTGGTTATTGGTTGGGACAGTGCATGTTAATGAACACAACTCTCCGGATTGTAGCTTTGGGCTAATTTGCATCCATTGTCCCACAGTCATACTCAATAATGTTTATTTATATAGCGCATTTTACAGACCAAGGTCACTCAAAGCGCTTTACAATGTTCAGAGTTCAGATCGTTCTCCATTCTCTCCACACACGGTGATAACAGAAGCGAGTCGCCGAACACACTGGGGCATCAAAGCCTCCGACCAAACACCATCCATTCACTCACTCACTCATTACATTCATACCTATATTTTTTTAGTCACAAACACACACTCATTCAACGCGAACAATTGTACATGTTTTAAGTGGTAGGGGAAACAGGAGCACCTGGAGGAAACCTATGCAGACATGGGGAGAAGATGCAAACTCCACATAGAAAGGTCCTGGATGTGGAATCAAACCCAGGACCTTGCTTGTTAACCGCTGCGCCACGGTGCCGCCTCTTGTGTTGTATCTCGACTGAAATGGGCAGCGGCCGATGTGATTGGTCTATAACACTCTATGCAGGCCTTGAAATTCGTGGCCTGAAAAGTAGAGAGATGAAACCAGATAATAATTTTGTAATTCATATTTTTAGTACAATTTTACAAGTAATAAATGAAAAATGTACTAAAGACGGGTTTGTCCTTATTAAAAGGCCTAATGGGTATGTGTGTTGTCTGTCAGAAGACTACTGCCCATCAGAGATTTAGTTTGAGCCGTGCTTCATATTAGTCCAAACACAGTTCTACTTCCATATGGCGGTCGCTGCTCATTGTACTCCTGTGCGCGGCCGTCGCTGCACCCCCTGCACGCTCTCACGCGCTCTTCTGTTGTTAAAATGGGCCAAGCTGAGGAGCGGCGCAGAGTGCAAATCTTGTTTGGTCTGAGGCTGTGAACTTCAGCGTGACTTTACGTGCACGGGGGTTAAATACGACTCCATCCAAACTTAAAGCTGCACTAACTGACTTTATTTTTGTATTCATTACGAAAATGCTATCCATGTCCATGTAGGGCATTGGGATATACATCATTTTGAAGAAAAAGTAGCGCAGATTTGTGCTGGCGTGACATTATATTTTAGATCGAGTTTTGATGAAACAAGGAAGAGAATGTGTTTCGGGTCGCGGATTGTGACCAATAGCAGCGCACCACTAGCCCCCACTTTCGTGAGAAATCTACAGGTCCGTTAGCACAGACGGCTGAGTTAGCACAACAAGACGAGGAGCTAACCTGAAACTTCGTGTGTCTTCGTCACCGGGTACTGCTTACACAGCGAGACAGCCATCCAAAAGAAAGTCCCGTTCCTCCGCACTTCCCGGTTCTATCGTTCTATGGTCACGCCATCCACGTGCAAATCCATATTCGTGTATTATCCATATTGGGAGACACTAGCTCCGTCCCAACAGTGAGTGTGTGTGGGGGGCGATAGCTTCGTGGGTGCGGGGAGGGGAGCAGAAAGAGCGAGGCCAGCGAGTCCGCGGCTTCAAAATCCCAAAGTCAGTTAGTGCAGCTTTAAGACCGTATCTGTATGATGCATAGGCGCGCACAGTTGGAGTTTAAAAGAGCTTAAAAGTGTAATTTGACAAATAATTTATTTTAGTTCACTGTGAAAATATTTTCCGTATAGTCTTGTAATGATAATTGAGTTTACAATCACTGTTCAGTCGAATCTCAAAGCTTTCTTTTTTAGGCAACAGCCAGAAAGCCTAACTCTGAATTTGTTGCACTTGCTTCATTAAAGCTCACGATTATCCAGTCAGTGACGTGTGCGCGAGTGACAAGCCTCAGATGACTGGCCAACACGAGGTCCGCGCTCAGAGCTTCCAGCAGCACGCACGAATACACATCGCGCTGAGATTAGATGTGGGAGGTAGGAGCGGCGCACTGCTGAATGGGAATCTATCCGGCAACTTGAGCACAGCGCTGTCACACGGCGACACGCGGGCTCTGCGTAAAACCAAAGAGCGCGTCTCCAAGTCTGGCTCTGCCCCCGCGCTCACACACTGAGAGGACGCACAAGTTGGATCAGGGCAGTCACTCCTCTCTCGATCATGCCTGCGATCAAGAAGGAGCGACTGGATGGAGACGACATGGCATTGACCGCCTTTAACCAGTCCGAATACCTGGCCCCTTTAAATGCCACAGCTATCCCCGTGGTGACCCCTCATCCGCCACCTTACGAGCACATTTTTGCCCATCACCGCGCGTACTTGGGGCTTCACGACTCGACTCTGCATCACCAGCACCTCCACCACCACACGGACGACTTAATGCTGGAGCGGTTCTCCTCCATCCCGGACTTTCAACCATTTTTTGACAACGGGGAGCCTTGTATCGAAGTGGAGTGTGGCGAAAACAAGGCTTTACTTTATATCAATAAACTGTGTCAAGGAAGTAAGGGACCGTCTATTAAATACAGGGGCGAGTGGCTCACCCCAAACGAATTTCAGTTTGTGAGTGGACGGGAGACGGCCAAAGACTGGAAACGGAGTATTAGACATAAAGGTAAGAATACTCACTGTTTGTGATGAAAAATGTTGCACGCGTTTGTTTACACTGTGGTTGTTGTACATTGGAGCTTCTCAAATCTTATTGTAGGTTGTGAAAGTTTGACCTTATATTCAGCTGGAAGCAGGGCATCCGGGCTTGGAAGTTTCGAGTCGGATGGGAGATATACTTTAGATTACCAGTTTTCTGTAAATGTAGTGTACGTATGTTTTGATTGTTAAAATGTTGATGAAGGCACACCTGTACACAAGCATCGCACTTCTAACTCAAAAACTGTTACAGGCTTATTTTAGGATTTAGGATTACTTTACTCGTTATTTTAAAGAATCTGATGACTGATATGCCCTGCTCTTTCCTGTTAAAGCGGCAACATTAACTTATAATTGCGTATCTTGGGGCCCCTTTCGCCACACACATTAGGTTAGTGAGGCAGAACTGACACGCGTTTGGATGTGGGGGGAGGGAGTCACCCCCAGGTCAAAATTAGAGCCTAACAGTTTGATAAAGCATGCCCACAGACAGATGACAGTTGTCTGCTGTCTCTCTGCCTCCTTTCACTGCTCTTTAATCACACATAACTTAATGTCTATATTACTCATCCCCATTTGAGACACTTATAGACTAATTGTTTGAAAATGATTACAAATAACATTCTCTAAAGGGCATTTCTCTTTGTTGTAGGGAAAAGTCTGAAGACACTCATGTCCAAAGGGATATTACAGGTGCACCCTCCGATCTGTGACTGTCCCGGCTGCAGGATCTCATCTCCAGTGGTAAGATCACTTTTTCAGCGGTGACACTAACTTTTCTGCTTTTGTGGCAAACACAGTGATCCTTGTGCCCAGCTGACCACTGAAACTGAAACTGGTGGACTAAGTTTTGTTCCTTTGTGTTTAAGCAGCATTGATAGCAGGAAGCTGGCATTTAGGCAAAGCTTACTAATACTAATTCCACTCATGGTCCAGAACGTCCATATGTCTACACGGCAAACATGTTACATTTGACTGAAAGCTATTTTGGTGGAGTTGTTATTCAAAGTCACTTCTGTTTCGCTGTTGTATCGTTGGTGTGGCTTTTCTGTCCCATTGCCTCCATTTGTCACCTGGCTCTTGAACTTTTGTTTGGCCTGCGTTTCCCTCGGGGCTGGACCGGGGCGCCATGCCAAAGCTGTGGGCTGCGCAGGTGTGTCACACTCACACCATCACACCGCGGCTGTCTCTGTGTGTTTGGGCTTTGAGCTCGCACGCCGCCGGCTCAGCGTCGCCAAATCTGTTCACGCAGGTGCAGCGGGGCGTGTTTTTATCACCACCAAGCGCATCTGTCGACGCTCCCAAGCCCTAATCTTGAGGGAAGGGTGTAAGAGGCTTAGCGAGCTACTGAGCGTGGCTACTGCTGATTATTGTGGGCGAGACACGCAAAGGCAGAGGCGGTTTAGATAAGCCAGAGGTGTTTGAGCCGTGCAGGTAAACTGTGACATTTCTCAGGGCCAAGACACACTTTCTGTATCCATGAGGTATGCGGTGGAAGAATAGTGGAGAAAGCTTGACTTTAAAGTTTTTATAGACATCTTTTAAAGCAGTTTGTATACACATACACAGGCTTAGAGCTGGAGTATAAGTATACTGTAGACCTGCACTTTTGTCACAGCCCACTATTGTGTTGCTGGTTTGCTTAACTTACTTTATCATAGATGTGTGTGCCCTTAGAAACAGAAATCATCGTTATGAATATCTTACAGATCGACGATGAAAACCACAGTTAGGACTGCAACCAATGATGATTCACCTCACAATTATACTCAGCATGAATAGATAAGTTGTACAGAATGAAAACAAATATCACTTTATTACTGTGAAAGTTTGAAATAATTTAACCAGGACAAAGTTGTGGTGAAGCTACTTGAGGACATCCTGAAGGAGTATAATGGATATTTTCTGTGTCATTTTGAGATAATTCCTCCTCTGTCTAACTCATAAAGGTCTTCTCTTAGCACATGACCTGTCCTTGAGCGTGTGTACTAAGTTAACCTGATCCTTTCACTAATTTAGTTGCCAATTATGCAAATAATCGATTTGGCGTGGTTAATTGATATGCTTGTTGCTCCCTTAAGTGAAACAACTTTATTCTGTGTATTGAGTTGAAGAAAAGATGTGTTACTCTAGCCAAGTGCACCACTATTTCTCCATTGAAGATCTGTGAAGATATCACTCTGGACCGATGGCTTGTTGGGGCTTGTGCGTTTCTTCTACGGTTATTGCTGTGACGAGACAAACTTTCTATTGACGTAAGCAGGAATATGAAAGGCCTTAAGGTTGTTGTTTTAGCTTTCTACCCCGTCTCTCCCTCTCTCTCTCCACCGCTCGTACTTCCCTTGTCTGATGAAGCTTGAAGTCTCAGAGCGAATACCACCGCGGCCCCCACTCGCTCACATGAGCTTGTTGTGCTAGCAGCGCAGTGTGAGAGGCGGCAGCGCGGGCGGAGCAGGAGTGGGACTTGTATGGCCTGTACTGACTTCCCTCAGGGCACGGCAGCTAGCACCGCTCCACTGATGAATGCACACACACACACACACACACACACACACACACACACACACACACGCACACATATACACGCACATTCTGTCACGCCTACTACTGACACAAATTACCTCATGCAGACATTTATTTTGAAAGTTTGATGGCTGAACTTCGAGTGATCTTGTCGGGCTATAGGGGCAAGGAGAGCTTTGATGAAAAGTACAGCAGCTGAGGAGATGTCTCACCTATTAGTCCAGGGTGTGCTGGATCTGATTGGCTGCGTTGGCACGAATGTGTTGGTAATGATGAAGATGTGATAGAAAACCAGAAGAATGGTCAATGTTTATAACTTCAGCATTAATAGAGATGGGTGAAATAGCTCAAATTGGTAAAGGTAATATTTCTTAATATTACTCAAATAAGGGTAATAACCCTTTAACAGCCAAAGTAGCAGAATTTCTACATTCTGAACACTTTCTATACAGCAACCGGGCTTTGCACAAATGTTTCCCTACATTTTCTGAGATCTATTATTATTTAGTTCTGTTTTTCATTTGAAAAAGGGATGGATAGACAGAGCGTTTCTGAGACACATAAGTGTTCAAATCAAGTAACATTGTCAATATTGTTGGCACTTTAAAACCTGCTCACTGTGTGAAGAAAAAGTCTTATATTGTTGCTTTAAAAAAAGTAACAGAAAATACAACCAAATTATTATGTTTGGGATCTACTCTTCAAAAAAATTATAAAATGCGGGACCACTCCCCACTTATGTCTGAATAAAAATACATTATTTCAAGCAAGGAAGGAATTCAACATATTCTGTATTTGCTCAAACAAACTTTTCACAAACTTTAGTGGTGCTCCAAAAATATTTTGTCTTGCTGGGCATGACACTTCGGTGTGATTTGTTATGGACTGTAATGTGTAAACTGTATTATAAAACGTACTTTTAACCCAGTCTCACAGTAGTGTGAGCGGACTCGCCGCTCCACAGAGCTGACCTGCATGTTAGCCTGGCACTGCACTTTTAACTTCATATACATTCTTTATATTGCGTGTCAGTGGCTGTTTGTCTGAGGAGAATTATGGTTACTATTCTATATATGTGTTTTTGGTGCTGGTGTGTCTCCTCTGGGGAGAGCATGGCTTCCTCTGCTCTGTTATTTCAGCGGAACTCGTGGAGGCCAGGAGGAAATTACACTCCCCTCCTCCGGCTCGTAAAGACCTCCTCCAACCACGGGCCTCAGCTTAGAGACTATCACACAAGCACGTGCACATCAAATATATCAAGTTCTAGAGCTGAAGATACAATGGACCAAATCTGACCCAGATACATATATTCAGATCTATATACTCTGCTTGGACTGGGCACATTCACATATTCTGAGCACTAGTACAAAATATTTACTTTTCGGGTACTAGTTCCTCGACAGATTTTCTTAAATATCCTTTTTTTATTAATCATTAAGTCAGAGATTTTTTAGGTGGTTGGTGGGAAGCTAGGTTGCTGTATAGAAAGTGTTCTGGATTCAGGAGCGCATGTAGCAATCCTGCTAGTTATGCGCCTAAAGGGTTGACTAAAACAAAGAAGTTCATGATTTCCATTGAACACAGTCTCTTTGAGTTCATCTGTTATTAAAGCCACACTTTCCCTACACACATTCTCTTGGATCCCCAAAGATTCAGCAAAGAGCAAAACATCGAAGGATTTAGTGGCATGAGAATTTTAAACTGTTTGTGTCAACTTGGTGAGTTAATTCACTCACAAAAAGGGGACCAATTAAATAATCCAATAAATAGGAGTTTAAGAAAATTAAGGATTCTATTTCTCATACCAATCTAAAAGTTACAAAACACTACACAAATTTAGTTTGGACTTGTGTTTCTATGTAGTCAGCATTTTTGTTCTTTATCATCTTCATCCTCTCATCTTCCCATGGCAGTTATTCATAGCTGACCCTATGCAAACTTATAAACTTGTAAGTGTCCAAACCCATTTGAGCTGCCCCTCTTTTCTGTTGAAGTGTTTAGTGAGGTGATGTCTGTACACTACTGCCCTGTGACCTGTCCTTAGCCCTCTCTCTCTTGGCGGCAGCAGCGATGGCGGTCCTGCACAAACACTCAGCGCGCTCTGTTTGTGTGTGCGTCAGTGAGCAGGGGGAGGGGGGCGCAGGGTTGTGTTCGCCTGACTGCGTCGCCACTGACCTCCCCACACCCCACTCCGCGCCCCCCACCCTCTGCCGCTCCAGTGGGCTGCGACTGCCGGCTGGGCTCCGCGCGTAGCCCAGCTGGCACGTCACATCGACGTGTGTGTGTGTGTGTGTGTGGCTGTGTTGGTGTGTGTGTTGGTGTGTGTGTTGGTGTGTGTGTCTGTGTGTGTGCGCTTGGGTGTGTGGTGTGGAGCAGGGTCGCATGCTTGTCCTCCCCACGGTGCTTTCTCACTTTTTTCGCTTTTCTCTCTCACGGCCTGATGTCTGCACACCACCACACGCACAGTTCCTGGCAGCAGTTTGTGAAGCTTAATCTCTATTCTGTGTTATTTTGCTAAACAAAGTTCACGATTTGATAAAAAGCACTGAGGAACATACACCATCTCAACAAAATATATCTTCATAGGATCAAAACATTTTTCTCTTCACTTTGCCCTGCCCTATAATTACCGTGCCATCAGGGGGTATTGTAAGCGTCTCTGTGTGTCTGTTGGCAGTTTACTTGTAAATGCTTTATAGTTTTAGCAATTATTGTGTTAATGTAACTGTATTTCTTAAACAAATATCTGTGCATGTAGAAGTTTTACAATGCAATGCGTTTGCTTAGTTCACACCAAGGCGTCACCACCTGCGTTCTGAACTCTGTCGTAAAAAGTACATCTGGACATGGTCGTCCATAATGTCCGCTGTCTGTTATTGACTTCTCTAAAGTTTTGATTTCCAAACGATCACATCTCCTCATTCCTCTTTGTGGTACACCCCTTTTCAATCCAGTCACAGTACAGGCAAAATGTTTACTGTAAATTGCTCGAGCTGAAGTCTTTGATCTTCGTTTCTGGTTGCTTGTGCTCTGATTGGATGACGCCTACACATTTCACTATTGTAGAGACCAAATAGACAAATTCTCTTCCTTTCTTGTAAAAAAACCCAGACTTATTTTTCTTTTGGTAGGAGAAACCTGTAAACATCGTCAACACAAATCCTCTATAATATGTATTCTATTCTCTTGTTTATACTTCCTGGATATTAATGAGGTTCGAC